CCAGCCTGGACCGCAAGGCGATGATCACGGTGGCGCCGCACGCCGAGGAAAACATCTCCTCCAAGACCGTGTTCGACACCAAGGGCCTGGCCGTCATCTGGGGCAAGTTCCCCGAGTACTACAGCGCGAAGAACACCATCCACGTTCGCCCCACCTCCTCTCATCATCGCCCGTTCTTTCCTCTTCTTTTTTTTACATCTTCTTCATCTTTGACCCGCTTGTGCGCTGTGTGGTGGCCCTGACGTGAGCAGTTTGATGACCTCCGGCGCAACTTCATCATGAACCCCCAGAACGTGAGTTTTTTTGGCCTCTCCACCCCCCTCTCTACAAATCCCCAGATCTGCCCTGCGGCGAGTGAAACTCACTGCGTCGTACGTGTATAGGGCCTTATGATCCGGCCCTTCAGGAAGTGCCTCAAGTACCGCGCCACCGACCGCGAGCTGCTCAGGCTCATCGACTACCTCCAGGCCATCGCCCACCTCGAGGACCTCTCTGCCCTCAACCACGACGTACGTCGTCGTTTCCTCACTTTATTACTATTATTATTTTCATATTATTATTATTTACACAGTCGAGGCAGGACTGGGAAGGCTACGTCGAGACGTGGAAGCGCGGCTGAAGCCGCTGCCGGCTAGTGGAAGGCTGACCAGGGTCCCTGCGATCGCGTCAACTTCAACCTTACAGCTCAGACTCTGCACATACAATCTTCTTATAAATTTACACCACCGCCACCACCATCGCTACAATAACAACATCAACAAGTCGCCAGCAGTGCAGTGGTCACTGCTTGCGGGGCGGACCCTGGACGACGCTGCCGCCGCACTCCTCGACCACGCCGAGCCACTCCTGGATCTGGCGGCCCTCGGCAGCCTTCGTCTGGCAGCACGGGAAGAAGTGGAAGGTCTTCCCGTACCGCGTGTCCTCGATCACCACGCACTCTCGCTCTACACCCCCACCAGACGGCCACAAGTCGACGAGGTACGCGTTCACTTCACTTCCCTTTCCCGCGCAAGCTGATGTGTGCGGCGCGGTGGCGTGGGCGTGCGTACCTCCGTAAACTTTGTCGGTGTGGCGCGTCGTCACGTAGACGCGAGCCTTCTTGAGCTTGATCTTGCCGCGTGCGCCCTTGTCCTGTGAACGAGGCGAGTGGAGAGTGAAGGCATTGAAGATGAGAGAAGCGAAAGGTGCGAGTACCTTCTCCGTCTTGTAGTAGGTGACGGTGGATCCCTTGAGCACGAACCACCTCCGCTTCCACGTCTTTCGCACGTGGCCTGGTTTCGAGGCGGGGAGTGGGATGAAGTCGCAGCTCAGGGCAAACAGGAAGAGAAGAAGAAGAAGAAAGATGACAAAGATGAGAAGGCCGGGGCGGGCACCTTCTTTGATGAAGTAGCCGGCCATGGCACTGCCGGCAGGGGGCTGGGCGCGGCCGGTCTCCGGGTCCGCTGTGGTGGTGACGGCTCCGGCCTCCTTCTTTTCTTTCCTCTTTTGGTCGTCCCACAAACCGACGCCAACCTCCACGAGCGCCGCCCCCAAGCGAATCCCCACCTCCACTAACGCTTCTGCCATGGCCCAGGGGCTCCGAAGTGTTGTTCTTTTCGATGTTGAAAAAAAAAGTGAGAGGTTGTGGCCTGCCACGCTTTCGTTCTTTCGCTTGCGCTTTCGCTTTCGTTCTCTTATTCGTTCCCCACGGACTGAACGGAAGCAACAGACCAACCACGGCCCAGCAGGTTTGAAATTAAAAGCGATTGTCCAGTGGCGAAGAAGCGTGATCGCTGACACCAGCTCTGTCCATAGTCAAGAGGCAAAGAAGGGCGTTTTCACACTACTGGGCTTGACTGAGGGAGACGAGGTAGCAGGGCAGCACTTGGGCCGGGTTGAAGATCACCCACTCCTGACCACCTACACCCCACCACATTGCAATTACGATGAATAAAAAAATATAATCTATAATTATTCTTGAAAAGAAATGTAATAATAAAATTATCAAGAAAGCAGGTGGTACCCGGGGCGGTGTGCGAGTCATGGCCGGCCATTAGGTCTGCGCCGTGGATAAGGGTCGTGCACTGGAACGTCTTGCCCATCAGCACGCTGCAGATCAACAGCTTCTTCCCTCCTGTTCGTGTGCGTGCGCGTGCGGCGTGTGTTGAGCAAACGCGTCAGGCCATCGCCTCACGTGGGTGTGCGCACACACGGTGCGTGCGTGCGGTTGTGAGCGTACCTCGGCAATAGCCCACGGACATGCTGGAGTTAGGCGAGAGGTAGATGCCGCCGCCCCAAAACCCGGTGTCGGTGGCGTGGCCGACGTCCTTGCCCTTGCCCTTGCCCGGCACCAGCAGGCCCTTGTCCAGAATACTCTCGATGTTTTGCTGGTTGTGTCGGCTGTCACGTAAGCTGCTGTTGTGCGTGTGCGGTCGGTGCGTGTGCGTGTGTGCGGTCGGTGCGTGATGTGCGCGGAGGGTACCTCGGCTGTGCCGTGGTAGGCCATGCTCGGTCGGGCCAGATCTTCGGACCGCTTCTGTCTGAGCTCGGCCCACGCCGCCTCGAATTCGACCACCAGCTCCGCCTTCAGCACGTTCTCTATCTGTTGTGGGTGGGGGGCGAGGTCACAGTAAGCGCCTATCATAGGCCCACAAATAAAAAACCCGCGGGTTCAGTCGTGTGGGCAAGGCGTACGCACCTTGGTGATGATCATGCCGTTCTGCTTGACGCCATTCTCGATGAAGTCGATCAGTTCTTCGTTGGCCAGATACCTTCGTGTGTGGGTGGCAACGGTCAGTCGACTGACATCAGGCGCGCACACGCACACGCACACATACACACGCACACGCACACGCATCACCGCACACGCACACGCATCACCGCACACGCACACGCACACGCATCACCGCACATGCATCACCGCACACGCATGCGAATGTTGGGCAGCGGAGTACCGGTGGGACATCATTTGCAGGAGCATCTCCTGAGTGTTGCCTGCGGCGGTGTCGGTCACGCCGTACACAGCAGCCATGGTCGCCTCGCTGTGGTCCAGCTTGACTTCCTCCTGTGTGTCGTGTGTTGTGCGTGTGCGGTGAGCGTCCGCAAGTGCCATCCCGAGACACGCGGGTGTTGTGCGCACCTCGCAGTTGCTGAAGGGGCACACGGCGATACGCGAGAGCTGGGAGAGCTGCTCCTTCTTGTTCTGCGGCAGCACATCGGAGAAGCGGAAGATGCACAGAGGGTTGCAGCACACCACCGGCTTGTCACTGTCACACAATATTGTTTGTGTGACACCACGACAACAACACACACCGCACATACCAGCACACGACATCAGTCAGTGAATGAAGATAAAAAACGTCCGCGGGTGCGAGTACCTGGCGCAGGTGTGCTTCTTGTGGCAGACCATGCAGTAGCGCGAGTAGTTGGCCAGGCGCGCTCGCACGTATCCGATCATCCCCACGAAGAAGTTCGTGTCGCTGAAATAACATCAACACATCAGATATATTGAGAGTCGTCAGCAAGTGTTCGGCTGCTCGATGAGATGAACGATGGCTGTAAGCGTACCCACAGGCAAGCACGCTCGCGCCGATGTGCAGAGCTTTCCTGGAAGTGACCACGGCACCAGCCAGATGTGTTAGTCGGTCCTGAGTTGATCGGGTGCAGAGAAAGAGAAAGAAAGAAGAGAGGGGGTACCTCTTGGCGTCTTGTTCGTCCTCTTCCCGCTGTAGGGTTCGGGCGATGTCCTCGTCCATGCTGCTCGTCAGCTCACTTCGGCCCGACGAAGACGAACCTATGCGCGCACGAAGGCGCCGAGTGAGCTAAAGAACGCGACACACGACACCATCACACGACGCGAGGCACATCTGAGGGCCAGGGTACTGGAAGTGGACGAGGCGGCGGTGAAGCCGGAAATGAGCAGTTCGAGGGCCTGCTCGACGTTGTTGCGGGTCTTTCTCAGCGCCGCCGCAGCGTGCTCGGGATCGAATCCCATGCCCGCCATCTCGATCACCAGGTCCGGCAAGGCCTCCTCCTCTCTGGGCTTGGGCGGCTGAACATGCCGTGGCGTCCATCAATTGGCGTGTGCGGTGGTGCGTGCGCGTGTCTTGTGTGCGCGTGCGGTGGTGCGTGTGCAGAGCGTGTGCGGTGCTGGGTACCTCGTAGGGGCAACGAACGGAGTCGCCCATGCTGAGGAGCTTGTTGACGGCCTTCTCAAAGTTGTTGCTCTCGGCCACGAGCACGGTCTTACTGGCCTCCTCGGTGAAGCCCATCAGCCGCAGCTTCTCGAGGGCCTCCTTGGGGTCGAGCTTGGCCTTGTTGTCAGCTGGCGCGGGCGCCTCCGCCGATTTGCCGAGCAGCTTGCGCACGCTCCCCCGGGCCTTGGGCTGCCACTTGCTCGGCTTGGCCTTGCTGTGATCCGACGCGAAGGCGCCCAGCACCCGGATCTTCTTTCTGTCGGCCTCGTCGCTCCACTTCCAAGTGTCCTCCACGTATCGGCTTACGATCTACATATCATCGTCATCAGCGTCATCTCGCCGACGTGAGCAAACACTTTCGTTGTCACGTCGTGCGGCGGTGCGCGTGCGTGTCGTGTGTGTGTGTGTGTGTGTGGTGTGTGGTGTGTGTGTGGTGTGTGGTGTGTGTGTGTGTGAGGCGCGAGTTCGTGCCGCACCTCACGAAGATGGTACTTGACGCCGAACGAGTTGCTGTCCCTGGTGGTCCACTGACGGCAGCTGAACTTAGGCACCGGCAGGCGCTCCTTGCCATCGGGCAGCGACCAGAACTCGGCGAAATCGAGCGTCACCAGCACCGGCTCGTCCGGGGTAATATCGATCGCCTGGGCCAACGCAATACTGGTCGGCGGACCGAGCGAGCAGCAGTCGTGTGAGTGCTCCGGGTGGTAGTGGTGGTTGGTGCCAAAAAGTGGGAATATATGAAGAGGAGTACTTACTCTAGCACGGCCGTGATGTCGATCGTCACCACGACTTGGCCCATTCCTCTGACCGAGACGAGCTTGGCGCCCACGAGGTTCTGTGCGTCCTTGACCTCCTGTTCGACCTTCTTCATGTGCTCGTTCTTGCACTTCTCCGCGGTCCAGTCCATCGACTCGTCGTCCATGCCCATGTCGCCAAGGTCTTGCGACTAATAACAATAGGCACCGAGGTACGGTCAGCTCACACCAGCCACCAACATGTTAAGGCCATGAATGAAATGCCGAGTGGAGCTGGCGCGACTATGACTGGAATGTACGGAATGTACGTACCTCCTCCGTGTCGGTGAATTGCTCCTCGCTGCCGTCGGTGCTGTGCCTGATCGAGTCGGAGCTGCGCAGCATTTTCCTTCCACTGCGCTTCAAGCCTGCGAGGCAGACGCGCCGTGTGAGGTGGAGGAAAAGAAAAGAAAAGCGTCATGGCGTAGGCGCACCTTGGGTACGGGTGACGTAGTGGACAATCTTCGAGAATAGGTCGCCGACCTGCAAAGTCTTGGCATGGGCCGCCAGGTACTCGTTGAGCTCGGCCGCCCAGCGGTTATTGCGGTCAGCCTCGACCCGGAACACGCCGTTCACGTCCTGCGCTCGTGTCCGTGTCAGCTGATCGGGTACCGCGTACCACTCACGCACAGAGAAGACTCGGTGAACGTACGCCGGGCGTGGGGTAGACCAGGGAGAACTCCTTGTCGTCGACGAGGAAGTGGATCATCTTCTTACCGTCATCGGTGTCGTCCGACCCCATCCAGATGAGCTGGCCGTTGGCCTCGCTGAGCTCGACCCACTTTTCGTACTCCCGCTCGAGCTTGCCCGCCGTGTACCCGTCGGCGTGCTCCCCGACGCCTTCCATGGTGTCCACCACTTTCTCCTTGCCGCGGTCCTGCTCGACGTCCATGGGTGCGGCTGCAGGCTCATCAGTGGTGGTGGTGGCTCGACCCGGCTCAGCTGGCTGTTGCGACTGCAGCGCTTGCGCGACGGCGAGCATCTCTCGGTGACCGGCCACCAAGCGCTCCTGCTCCCTGGCCTGCTCGGCCTCGTTCGGGTGGTCGTGGTAGAGGCGCACCTCACCGTGGAGCTCGAGGTCGGCCAGCACCTTGGCGTAGGGGTGCCAGCGCGGGAAGAGGAAGACCTGTTCGTGGTTGTAGGGCGGCAACGCCATGTGCAGATGCAGGTGCTAGATGTCGACAGCACAACAAACACAATATGTGGATGAGAATATGTAAGACCATGCGCAGAGTCAGACACAATGTAACCGAGACATTGGCCGGCGGTGATACCTTTACAGAGACGGGCATATTGAAGCCAGCGACGATGTAGTCCTCGACATTCTTCCCCTGGAATCGAGCCAGATTCCTCTGCTTGATTTCATTGAGGCCCATCTCGTAGAGTCCTGGATTGAGGTGTGCGTGTAAGTGGCCTCAACACTTCTGATGACCGATGATTCTGCTGGCGATGGGAAAAGTGGGATCAGTGCGGCACGTACGCTTGACCATGGGTATGTCGTCCTTGGTGAGATGAGTAATGTCCTCCACCACCCAGGTCGGTATGACGTCGATGTGTACGTCGGACACTCCGAATTTGTCGTTAAACACAATGATGTGCTCGTCTCTGTTGCCCCACGCGGCGCCGGCGTTCGTTTGACCGCACCAGTCAATCGTGTGGCTTTATCAATGCCTTTCACAAAGGGCTGCGTACCTGTAGCAAACCCTCGAGCCTATGTCCTTGCCCTGCACGAGGTCCAAGAACACGTTCGCGGGCACCTTGGCTGCGTCCCTGTGGGCGCCCGTCGACGAACGCCCATTGGCGTCAGCTTCCCGCGATCATGGATATGGCTGGAGCTGGGCTGGGCTGGCGCGCAAACGTACCACGGGGAGAGGACGAACGCGCAGCCGGTGCAAGAGGCCACCGCGGGGTGGTTGGGCTTCTCGCACACCGGGCAGATCAGGCGGTAGTGCTCGCCCAGATCCTCGCGTCGGGCACGCGCGGCCTCTCGCTTGGCCTCGATCGCTGCTAGTCTCTCTGTGACGCACACAAGTCACAATCAGCACGACACGACACCACACGACCAACGGCACGACCAACGACACGCGCACGATGCGACTAGAAGAGCGAGATGGCATCAAACCTGAGGAAAGGCTGGGTGCGCTGTGTGTCTGCTTGTTGGTGGCATCCCTTTTCGCTTCTTCTTCTGCTTCTCTTTCCTTTCGCTGTTTCTCTTCGGCCTCGGCCCGGGCCTTCTGCTCCCTCTCCTCCTGTTCTCTGGCCTGTTGCTCTCTGCTCTCCTTAAGCTCCATCTCCATGATCTGGTCGCGAATGATCATCTCCTCTTCGGTGAGCACGGCGTCGTCATCCTGCTTGCCCAGCCCGCAGACTTCGCACTGGTCGCCCGCCACTTTGCCCACCTGTGCAGCGTTGGTGCAGGAATGCCATTGTTAAGAAAACGACAATATAGAACATGGACAGAATAGTTCAAAACAAGGCCAGAAGATGCAAAAACAAGGTCTATGCCTTTGATCGTCCAGGAAGAGGAAGCTCAAATTGGTGAAGAAAGATGGATAAAAAATGAACAAGATGAGAGGAGAGTGGCACACCTGATTGATGAAGGTGCAAGCTCGACAGACCCAGTGCAGGCCTTGGTTCTCCATGTCGTAAATGCTCCTTTCGGGGGGTGGAAATGAGCACAACAGATAACATATTATTATTTGACTTCTTTTCTGTGAACTTTTTCACCAAGAGAAAATAACATTTCTTTTTTATTTCCTTTCCTTTCTCGTGCTGATCTATTTGATTTTTGAGTAATTCAAAATTGATTAGTTCAAAATTCCCACATCAGGATGCCGTTAAAGTCGTGGTCGGTCACGTGTATCGAGTTCGAGGAGGGCGACCTCTTTTCGTTCGTGGTGGCCTTCTCGCAGTTGGCCCCCGTGTTCGTGTGCGTGAGCCTCGCCACCCTGTGCGCCTTCCAGCGCGACCTCCGCGTGGCCGTCTTTTTCGTGGGCCAGCTGTTCGATGCGGCCTTCAACCAGGTCGTCAAGCGCATCATCAAGCAGCCGCGCCCTCACGGCATCACCAATGGTACTTAGCCTGCACATGCACACAGGCGCACACGCACACACGCACACGCCCACTACTCACATCGCAACCGTGTGCTGTCGCACAGCCTCACTGCGGACTGACTACGGCATGCCGTCGAATCACTCCGAGTTCATCCTCTTCTTCTCGACCTACGCGGCGCTGGTTGTCCTTTTCCGGTACCGTGTGTGTGCGATTGATTGGGTCCATTTGCAGCTCTTGTGCGAGTGTTGAAGGGTACGATTGGCAGGTGTAAGTTCCAGCACAAGCTCTGGAAGGCACCGCTCGTCGTGGGACTGTATCTGATCGCGCTCGTGGTGGCCTACTCCAGGTGCGTGCAGCCAGCTCCGCCCTCGTGGGCCTCTTGACCTAGCCTATGCTTATTGATTCTGTTCTGTGTTGTGTGCAGGTTGCTGTTTACTCACCACACGCTGGAGCAAGTCGTGGTGGGCGCCATTGTGGGCTTCTTCATGGCCATTCTCTGGTAAGTGCAGACGATTCAACTGTGCGTGTGCCGGCGTGTGCGGTTGTACGTGCAGTGTGTGTCGTGTCGTACCGTGTGTGTGTCGTGTGTTTCTAAAGTGCCCTGGTGAACGTGACACGTTCAGGTTTGCGCTGGACACGTACGTGTTCGGACCTTACGTGTACCCCGTCATCGAGGAGTGGTCGCTCGCCAAGTACTTCTACATCAAGGACTCCTGCAAGGTCGACAACCTGCTTAAGTGGGAATGGGAAGAGTGCCGCAAGCGTGGAGGAGCTCACAAGAAGACAAAGCTGGCCGTCGTGCCCAAAGAGAAGACCAAGAAGACGCGGTAGACAGCAAAAGAAACCGCGTAGTTCAATATATTTAAATATTCATCATTTCCCTCTTTTTTATTTTCCATTTCTCATACGGAAGATTCGAGAAGGACGCCATCACAGAGCTAGATTGATTTGCCAGCAGAAGAACAAGAATCACAAACGGACATCAATCATCACGAAGAGCATAACAGTGACTAGCAATCACCAATTCATAAAATGAGCTATCGGGGAGGTGGCAGAAGTGGAGGGGGCCGAGGAGGTGGAGGAGGAGGTGGAGGCGGCAGAAAGAAGAACGAGGTGTGTAAGTTCTGGGCCAGCGGCAACTGTCGGAAGGGGCAGAACTGCGATTTTCAGCACACTGCCGCCTCGTCCAATCCATTTAGCGCCCTCAGCGGTGGCGGAGGCGGCGGGGGCGGTGGAGGCGGCGGTGGAGGTGGAGGTGGCGGTGGAGGCGGCCGCGGAGGTGGAGGAGGCGGCGGCGGAGGCGGTGGCGCCGGTGGAGGCCAAGTGACCAAGGCGCAAATCATAAAGACCATCGAGGTGGACTTCAAGGAGCTGCCGCTCTGGCCCTTCAGCGCCTATGCCTACGACAAGGGCGTGCCCACCACCATGCCGGGCGACATCAGCTTCGAGGAGCTGCGACTTCAGTCCTACGCCGACCTCAAGCAGACGGGCAACTACAACGCCACCGTACGTGCCCTCAGCCAGTGCTTCGTGGTGTTGCTTGTTCACAAGTCTCGTGTGCACAAACGCTAATGCTCTCTCTTTTGCTTGATGGTGTGCAGAATCAGAGGGTGGCCCAGCTGGCACAAGAGTACACCGAGCGACGACGCAAGGTGCTGCAGGATCCCTTCTGCTTCTCCGAACAGCAGCAGGGAACTCTGGCTATGAGCATGGGTACGTAGTTCTTGCAACCATGTGTAGCGTTTGATGGAATGCGGGTGATGCTAACTGTAAACCGCTCGTTCGACACTCGCCAGGAGGTGCGCCGGCTTCGAGTTCAATCTTCGGATCGGCATCCACGAGCGCGCCTGCGTTTGGCGGAGCGGCTCCTGCGGCAGGCGGAGGCTTTGCCGCGATGCTGTCTGGCGGCGGAGGTACACAGCCTTTACCTCCAACCTTATCCGTGATCTGTTGCTCGATCACTAACACTCACTGATCCATCAGGAGCGCCTGCCGCGAGCGGGCTTTTTGGCGGCGGCGCATCCGCGGCACCAACCAGCGGGGGCCTCTTTGGTGCCGCTGGCGGCGCATCAGGAGGTGGTGGCGGCTTTTCTGGGCTGCTTTCAGGAGGCGGCGCAGCGCCAAGCGCCGGTGGCGGCGGCTTCTCCAGCCTGCTCTCCACGGGGGTACGCTTCAGCTTTACCCAGTTCCCTCTTCCTGTACTCTGATGACTGACAAATTTTGGATCACAACAGGGCAGCGCTTCAGCACCACTATTTGGTGGTGGTGCCACCGCCACACAGCCAGCAGCTTCCGGGGGCGGCGGTTTCTCGAGTCTGTTTGGCGGCGCCAGCGGCGCAGGCGGAGGAGCCTCCGGAGGAATGTTCGGCGGCGCTGCCGCCGCCCCTGCCAGTGGGAGCATCTTCGGTGGCGCTGCCACTGGTGGCGGAGGCGGTATGTTTGGCAGCAGCGCCGCTGGTGGCGCGAGTGGCGGAGGAGGAGGGCTCTTTGGTGGCGCGGCCACCGGTGGCGGTGCAAGCGGAGGTCTATTCAACCCGTCAAGTGCTGGTGGTGCCGGCGGGGGACTCTTTGGAACTACGGCGCCTGCGGTTGCTTCGTCGGGCCTGTTTGGCGGCAGTGCGCCCGCGGCAGGAGCAACGATGATGGCACCAGCCGCAGCACCAGCGCCGACAACGGCCGGAGCAGGAGGACAACAAGACGATCTGGCGGCCTTCCAGGCGCCGCAGTTCACCCCAGGCCACATCCCAGAGACGCCACCACCTCCCTCGCTCTGTTACTAGCCGCCGCGGGTGGTGCCGTAGGGCGTGTGGTGTATGTAACGTTACGCGGAGAAAAAGCTGTAAAATGCCACAAACAGCGAACACGGTGAGTGCACCATCACGTACCCTCTCGGTGTCAGCCCTTACACACCTCGAACCCCACCAACTTGCACAGTCAATAAATATTTCAGCTATTTCGGCGATCTTTCGCAAAGCTGGTTCGAATTCCTCTGACTTCTGGTATTTCC